CTTCAAGTTCCACCGTGGGCAGAAAGAGCAGAAGGGTTTTGGTGGAGCAGGAACTCTGGAGGTCTCCAGCCCAACCTCCTGCTCCAATCAGGGCTGGCTGCAAAGCCAGAGCAAGTTGGTCAGGGCCTTGCCCAGTTGAGTTTTGAAAAATCTCCGAGGATGGAGGTCCCACCACCTTTCCAGGCCCCGTGTGGTGCAGGGGAACAGGAGCTTCCCTTGTTATTACCTGTGGCTTCCTGCCCTTACAAAGTCCTTGTCTCTCCCATACTGGTTGCTGCACTGTCCAGGAAGGTGGAGAGAAAAGTGAAAACAAATCTATTGGCTGCATTAAGGCAGTTTTCAATTTTTTAATTTTTCCTTTTTTTTTTTTTTTTTTTTCTGTAGGCATGCTGAGGAATTCTCCAGCAGCTCAGACCAAAAAAGAAAACCCCAAACCCCAACTTCGGTCATTTTATTTACGCAAGGAGGAATGCAGGAATTTTGAGTTACTCCAAAGTATCTTTGGTTACCCTGCATCACTACAAATTTCTTAAGAGTAGAACTAACCCACAATCCCTCTGAAAAATACAACTGCAAGTTCTAATTCAAATAACTACTGGAGCCCACAAAAGACACAGCTCCTGCTGCCACTTCAGAAGCACATCAGCAGAGAGAAAACAGGTAAGTAGGAAAAAGCCATGAGCTAAGCAAATGTGATAATTTTTCAGGAAGCAGGAAGAAATAAATTGGGAGTTTAGCTATTTTCAAAGTAATTCCTATTTTTTCAGTGGATATTTATATTGGCTCTGTGCTCCTGTCTTTCCAGTCGAAAGTTCTGTTTCTCACCACGTGATGATGTATTTTAACACGAGGCCAAAAGGGATTCATATCCCAGCTGAAGCAACGTGGATGTGCACGTTGGACACACATGATCTGCCTTCGGTAGGGCTGCCTGGAGAAAAGCAAGAACGTTGCAGCTCATTGCAACCAGATGTGGTGTCAATCTCAACCAGGCCCTGGACTAGAAATGGAAACCAACCTCTGACAGGCAGCAATCTACAGTAGGGGAAAAGGGATTTCTGCCTGGAAAGAGATCATGGTTTACAGTCCCTTCTGGGGATTTATGTATTCTAAAATGGGAATAAAACCTGCTTCTGATGCCAGAGCCTGCGTGTCCTCTTTGGCCACCCATGGCAGCGGAAGGGAGAGCAGATGGGGCAGAGGCAGATTCAGCAGAGCTTGGTTGGGACACACATGCCCTGGGGAATTGCTGATTTCAGTACAATCGTCCCCAAACTGCACAGGAGTTCCAGGAGAGGCTGCCTGAGCCACAGCACTGCTTGGCAGACAAGGTGTCTTGGTTTAAACTTGGTTATCTAGAAAAGGTCATTGGAAAGTTGGTTGCAGAGAGGCTTGGAAGTGCTGGAAGAGCTGGAGACTTGTCACCATCTTTGCCCAATTTCAGGAGCCATTGCTCAGCAGAGAGGATTCCTTAAACATTTGATTTACCTTCAAAGCCTGTTAAAAACCACTTACAGAGAGATCAGGCTTATACTGCCAAGAAGTGTTCCTAGTTAGTTTGGAGGAATGACCACCTCAAACAGAGTAAGATCCCTTAGCAAAGGGACTCATTTTTCATTACCAATTAAATTTGTACTGGGGTTTTCCTGACATAGTTTTATTGGGCAGGATATGATGTTTCTTCTTTCTTTCTTTCTTTCTTTTTTTTTTCTTTTTTATTAATTTTTTTAGATTCCTAAAGTAAAAGCCGCAGCAAAGCTGGAACACAGACCTGTCTTGACTGAAGCAGCGGGTGAGGATGGAGATGTTAAAAATGAGTGAGCACTGCAGAAAGCATTAGTGATTTACATGTAAAAGCCAACTTTACCTATATTGTATTTATGCCCCCAGACCATTTCTTTTTTTTTCCCTGGGAATATGTGAGTTCCCATCTCTTCAAAAGGAGGAGTTTGTTTTCAGTGGCAGCTCTTGGAACTGGAACACTGAGTCCGATGCCAACTGAAAAATTGATATGCAGAGGGTGCACCCCGCTGCTTTCCAGTTCCTTAAATTTTTACCCCAGAGCTCAGGCTGCCTGCATTTTTCTGGGAAGCAAATAATCACATCCAACCTAAGAGATTTGTTTCAAGACAGATTTGAGGGTCCAAGAACCCTTTTGTTTAAAGGGGGCCTCAGACAGAAACTGGAGATCCTTCATGTTTAAGTTGCTCTTTGAGCAGCGGAACAAAGTGCAGTTTCCGAGGCTCCCGTGTCCCATTTCCCTTCCTTTCCACAATAACCTCTGTCTCCTCTTGTTATCCTGAGGACCTGCTGATGCTGACAGCTCCCCTCTGCCTCCTGTGTCCCACAGGCAGCATGCACTGGCTGGCCAGTACAGCTGTGCTGATCCCCTCAGCACTTCAAACAGTGCAGGGAATCGCTGAGCACGTTCTCCTTTCCTTTTGTAAGGAGGGACACGATTCCAGATCTTTTCCCTCTATCCAGAAACCAGGTTTTATAAAATCTAGAGGAACTCAGCCTGCAGATTCAAAAGGGGAGGAGATAGGCAGTGTGAATGTGTAAATTTTCTTACTCTGAGAAAAAAGGTTAATAGGGAAATGCAGCAGCATTTACAATAAACTTGAAACGCAGAGCCCGAGAGAAGGGGTCTCTGCCTCTTGCTCTGGCTCATGAGCCCTAAGATGAGCCTCTCTCTTGCAGCATTTATGATTTTTCTTTCAATCTGAGAGGACAGGATGGAGTTACAAATGACTTGGCCTATAATTAACTTGCAGTGAATGCAGAGCTAATCTTTTGAGTTGCCAGCACAGTTCCAGGCAGTAAAGCCTTTCTCAGATCAGGTCCCGGCTGCCAACACTTCTGGTCAATGATTACCCCTCCCACAAAGCTCCCTCCAGTCACCTGTTTACATCCCGAATCTTCTCAAGTTCTGCTATTTCAGGCTTAACTCTTGTGACCTTAGTCAGTGATACTCAGCCCAGGCCTCCTCGCCATATCCTGCAAGGCAAACAACTCCAGGTCCGTTTTAGTAACCAGCGCTATGTCATGCCTGTGGTCAGTGACTCCAAATATGCCCACGCCCATGCGTTTCCTAAATTTGGGTGTCTGTGATAGCAAACACCAGGGGCTGGGGTGGGCGGCCCTGTTTCACCGGAGAAGAATTCGGGGCGTTTTTGCTCTCTGAACGTTCTCTTTCACCTTCTGGGCATTTTCCTGGATGAACTGAGATTTATGAGGAGATATCGGCTAAGCAGGATAAGCAAAACAATTGTGACTCCTGCAAAATGCCTTTAAAGAGCTGGATGAGTCAGATCACAGGCCCATGGAGCAGAAGGCATCCATCCCCAAGAGCGGTGAATTGTGAAAGCTTACAGACAGTGCGAAAACAGGTCAAGTATAGAGTCATATTTCTCCTAAATACTCCACCAGACCCAGTGGTTTGTGGCTCGGGGACTTCCTGAGGCAGAGATGCTGTGTCTGTGTGTAATAGCCTGGGCAGACTTTTCCTCCTGGTATTTCTTCAATAGGTTCTTGAACCTAAACATTATTTTAATACTCATGATATCCTATGGAAATAAGCTCCTCAGTCTATGTGTGAATTGTCTCTGTCTCTCTTTATATATATATATTTATTTACTTTTTGATCCTGGCACTCTCTAGGCCACTTTTTTTCCCTTTCAGTCTCTGCTCAGTCTCTCCATGCCAAGTTTTGTAATGAACCCCTAAGACAGACAGTGAGTGGCTCCCATTCAGTACATAACTTCTGATCTTCATTGGAAAATGCTCTGATGTTTTCCCAGGAGAGCCAGTAAGTAGGTGACCAGTCTTTATTCCACTCACACAACACAAGGACCACCTTTGAAAGTCCCCTCCCAGCAGCATTTCCGTATTGCAAAGGGTACAGGATCACTCCTGTAAAAACAGCTGCATCCTAATTTGAAGGTTTTCTGTCTGCTGTGAGACACTGGTGGAGCTTATCTGAACCACTGCTATCTGCTGGCACTGCACAGGATGCAGAAAAAAGGTGATTTCTCAGTATATTACCCTGCCCCCAGCCCTGCTGAGGCACCTCATTCGTGCCTGTTTCTCCTCTTGCTGCTCTAGGCTACACCTGTCAAAGGTGATCTGTTGTTCAGCCTGGAGGGCATGGATGTGGTGACAGCAGCACGGGGAAGAGATTTTAACCTCAGCCAGGTCAGGGAGCTGTTTTAAGCACAGCTCTACGAGTTATTGTACTGGTACAGTGATGGGGAAACTGTTCTGAAAGAGAGAGGCAAGAATAAGTGGCTGGGGGCAAAGAGCCAGAGGAATTTCTTTAATTGGCTTTTTCCTGCATCCAGCACAGCCTGAGCACTCTCAGCAGAGGGGCAGAGCTGGAGATGCTTAAGAGCTCTTGGGCTTGCAATGCTCTGACTCAACATACAGATATATATATATATATGTATCCATAAATCCCTCCACACTCTCATGGATACTCTGTCTCCAGCTTCCCACTGCTCCTGTGCAGCTGGGAGAGGCCCCCAGGCACGGCTGTCCTTATGGCACCACCAAAACCAGTTTCACTGGAGATATCATGTAAGCAATCAGTCCTATAAATGTAGGGAGCAGAGCCCATCAGCTCAGTCACTTGGGTTTTGGCTTTTTTTATTTTTTTTTTTTTTTTAATGGTTTGGGTTGAAAGGGACCTTAAGGTTACCTAGTTCCAAATCCCTGCCATAGGCAGGACACCTTCCACTAGACCAAGCCTTGTCCAACCTGGCCTTGGACATTTTCAGGAATGGGGCAGCCACAGCTTCTCTGGGCAACCTGTGCCAGGGCCTCACCACCCTCACAGAGAACAATTTCTTCCTAATATCTAATCTGTTTGTTCCTCTGCACCGAGCAATCCTGTAAAGCCAAGCATTTCTGTCTTGTCAGAGAACAAAAATGTCTTTCATACAAAACAAACAAAAAAAAAAAGACTAGTAAAATCCATGAATACATCACTAAATAGGACTTGCCTGCCCTCTCTGGTCCAGAGATGAGGCTTCCAGAAGGTCTGTTGCTTTCACAGTTTGAACAATTACATGCAGAGCACTTGCTGGGATTCCTTGCACTCTGAGTGCAAAGCAGGAGGACTGGAATCCACCGTGGATGGATGTCACCAAATTTAGGAGAAAGCCTACACATCTGCTTATACAACAAATTGAATGGGCTTGATTCACAGAACTGGACATTTGGTCTGTGGCTCATCTCGGGTGTGGGAGATACCAAGGTAGCTACAAGCACCTCTCCCTTCCAGTAGTGGGTTAGTCCTGGTACTAATTTGAGGGTTGTGTGCACCTCAAACAGCCACGGGCTGGAAATAGCTCTGAATAAGGCTCACTGGCAGTTGAGGGTAAGTAGGAAGCGGCAGCCAAGACTGGATGTCAGGAGAGGCCAGGAGGGGATGTCATAAAAACCCTGTGCTGTTTGGAGCGTTTTCATCCATGGGAATTCTTCACTAGCTGGCTCACAGAGCGCTGCAGCTGTCTTGCAATGCTGGCTGTGTGAAGTGGCCAGCCCATGGTCAGTGGGGAACTCCGTGTCTCTTCCTAACGGGACAGAGGAGGCTTTCAGCAGCCACTGCTGAAGCTCCAGTTGGCACCTTACAAAGAGAAAACTTGAAAATCTGCCCCTCCCGCTTTATCCATGCTGATCTGCTGTCCTCGCTGTGAGAGGATGGTAACTCTGCAGCCTGCACGGCCTGGGAGCCGTAGGGAGCCACTCTGCAAACAGTTTTGGCTCCAGGAAAAGCTCCAGCGCGCTCTGTGTGTGTCCATTGTGCCACAGACCCCGGGGTCTGCGCCAGCCAGATTGTCCAGCCACGGATTCCAAGTCATTCCTATCACACTGAAAAGTCTCAGCCCCGCAGGGAGGGGAGCTTTAATCTTCTCAAACAGATCAGCTTTTACAGGAGGCTATTTTAGGTGCTGATTCTGTACCAGTGAAGTTATCGGACAGATGAAGAACACAGCATATGCTGTAGCTTGGAGCAATTTGCATTCCTCAGGTGCTAAAAGCTGTAAATACTTCCTTTGGGCATGAAACAGATCTGCTGTCAAAGCCAGCATTCCCGAGAGTGCCTGTCCCACAGACTCCCACAGGAGAGAGTCTGCAGAGCTGAACTAGTCTGACCCCAGGAAGTCCTTCCCACAGGATTCTCCTATTCTTGCTCAGTTTCTCCTTTAAGTTTCATAATTCGCTGAAAGGCCAGTTTGATGTTTGATTATTTTTTTTTTTTAAATCTTCCTTTTCACGCGCTTTCTTGGTCTTCCTCTCTTATATTAATACCACATTAAAGCTGGGATGTGAACCATCAGGAATTCCTTAGTGCTCTTCTGGAGACACTCAGTCAACGTTGTTAATCATTGCTAAAAACTTCTCTTGTCGCCTTTGCTGATACACAAACGGCTCCTTTCAGGCTGCAGCTAAACCCACACGTGCTGCCAGCAGGTGATGTCTCTCCAGGGAATCCTCCCTCTTGTGAGCTTATTTTTGTTCATTTTAACTAAAACATCGTAGAGAGATCTCTAGCATCAATAACTTTAAGATTTCTGCATGTTTCCTTCTCTTTCTTTTTAACAACACTACAGTAGCAGTGCTATCGTGGTTTACAATGATGATTTAAGGGCTTTTCAGTGCATTCTTGGTGTGTTTCTTTGGGCTCCAAAGTACATCAGCTGTCTTTTCATCAACAAAAAGAAGGAATATTGTGTTACAGACTCGGTGTTTGCTCCATTCATGGTTGGTTTGGGTATTTTTTTTTACATCTCCTTATTAAACTGGAATGGTAAAATTTGGTAATTCCAGGCTCAGTTCAGGGTTTACAGGAATGCCAAAACTTTTTATCCAGCTTACTCACATTTGAACTCATCACTGGACTGCTGGTCCCCATTTCTGCTTCCATAACAACACTTTTAGCCACTCATACACCTGGCTGCACCTCCAAAGCTGTCTGTCTCTTAAAATAATAGTCAGTAAAGTAACTTATCCTTCTTCTTTCCAAATTCACAAAAGGTGTACACAGTAAGGGCTCATTCTCTGCATCGCCAGTTCCTAGCTGGAGCTGTCCTGGAATATTTTATTACAGAAAATAGGAGTAAATCCATTCTGCTCCATCAGACTCTCCCTCATACCCTTTGCTGCCTGTCCCCAGAATGCTGTGAGGAAAAAAACATATTTTTTACCCCATTTTGACCATATGGTCCATCTGGATAATAGCTGAAGCCAAGAATTTTTTTCTGCAGGCCAGATTCTTGTTATTTGGGGAACTGAGGGAATAATTAATGCAGCTCCTTGCAAAGCCAGCTTGTGACCATGCGTGTTCATCAGAATGTGTATTCACCCCTTTAGTTTTCTGGGGAGAACCACAGAATGGTTTGGGTTGGAAAGGACCTTAAAGTTCATCGCATTCCACCCCTTGCCATGGGCAGGGACACCTTCCACTACCCCAGGTTGCTCCAAGCCCCATCCAACCTGGCCTTGGACACTTCCAGGGCTGGGGCAGCCACAGCTTCTCTGGGCAACCTGTGCCAAGGCCCCTCACAGGGAAGGATTTCTTCCCAGTATCCCATCTAACCCTGCCCTCTGGCAGTGGGAAGTCATTCCTTTTGGTCCCGTCACTCCAGACTCTTGTCCAAAGTCCCTCTCCAGCTCTCTTGGAGCCCCTTTAGGCACTGGTTGGGGCTTTAAGATCTCCCTGAGCTTTCTCGGGCTGAACACCCCCAATTCCCTCAGCCTTTCACGAATATTGACGAATTAATTATCATCATGAAGCAGCGAGGAGTGCGCGAAAACCAGGGGGAGTTCAGACCCTGCTTACAGAGGGTCTGCGCTCCAGAAAACAAGTCGCACGGCGAAAGGGAAGAGCCGCGGACCGGCAGCACAGCGAACCCGGCGGTGGCGGCGGCTCCCCCGCCTCAGCGCCGAGCCCGCCCCGCCTCCCCGGCCCGGCCCTCCCCTCACGCTGCTCCGGGGCTTCCGCGGGGCCGCGGCGGGAACGGGCCCGGCAGGTGTGTGAGGGGAGGCCTGGAGGGTGTCCGGGAATAGCCGGGAATGGCCGGGGATGGCCGGGAATAGCCGCGGATGGCGGGTGAGGGAGCTCGAGCTCCGAGCGCTCGGGCGGGCGGCGGCGCCGCCATGGCCGGGTGGGCCCGGCCGGCCTTGCCCGGCACTGCCGGGGCCTTCCCCCTTTGTCCGCCCGCTCCCCTCCTTGATTCCCGTCCAAATCACGAGAGTCCTCCGCCAAAACGGAGCGTCACTGCGCTGTGAAAGCTCTTAGTTTAGGTTTCTCGCCATCCCTCGTTTTTAACGTTTCCTTGCTCTTTACGAAAGGGTGAGTCAGTTTGTTTCCAGATAGGCTCAAGGTGCTCGGTGAGGCGGCGGGAGCGAGGAGGGGGATGGCAAGGATGTCTGGTGGGAAATGAGATCCCCAGCACTCAGTAAGGTGAATAAAAGCATCCATTTCGGCATGTTTTTGAGGTGTTAGGATTGCACATAGTGTCAAAACCTGTCTGTGGAGAAATTGATTTAATGTTTATATTTCTGGTTACCTTAGCTCCTGCCTGCACCCTTCTTTCAAGGTTGGTTTTCTTTTTTTTTTCTGGAGAATTCGACTCGTATTTGTCGTTATATCCTCTCCTGCCTCTTCTTTCAGGTTTTTTTTTTTTCTGCATCTCACACTGTTGTCCAGGAAACTATACATTATTAACTTACTTCTAGTTACTAATAGGGTAGACCAGACAGGAACTCACTGAAGGATTTGGCTTAAAATTAGGTGTCTGTGTAAAAGATTATGGAACAAATAGACAGGAATGACAGGCAGGAATAAGTTGCCCAACTGGCAGAAACAGTCAGGAATAAATTGCCAAACCAGATGAAGCCCCCAGGGATAGTAGTGGTAATGATTGTCTCAGCAGCAAATGTGTCACTAATTTTTAAAAAGGGTTCTAGGGGGAAATCCACGCACTGCAGACCTGGAAGTTTGACCACCAAGTGAATTAGTAGAAAATACAGCAAGGTAGGGTTATGGCACAGCTGCATAAATATTATCTAGGGGGAAAAGTCAGCGTGGGTTAAAAGTCATGCCTTAAAAAAATGTTGGAATTCTCTGCAGGTCTGAATAAACACGCTGAGAGGTCTGGCTTACAGTCTGTACTCAGATTTCAGGAAGCTTAAACAGAAGCCCTCACCTGAGCAGCCCTTGATACAATAAGGGAGTTCCCTGTCGTAAATAGTTCTGGCAAAGATAGGAAAGAGGATGTGAGTAAATGGGCAGCCCTGGTGGTGGCTGGAGGTCACCGTTGGGGTGCCACAGGATGGTTTGTAAAGGACCTGGAAAAATCCAGCTGGCTTTGCCTCATTTGAGGTGATAGAGAAGAGGGCTGGGGGTGATGAGTTGCAGGTGTAAAGCAATTCATGTGTGTGGGGAGCAGTGCTAATTCCACACACAAAATGAGTGAGTTTTTGGAGCAGTAATAACTAATTCTGTGAAGGTTTTTTTCCTCCATTTGGGTTGTTTTACAGGGGCTCAGGGAGGAATGCATAAGCTCGCAGTTACTGAGCACACAAACACCCTGCCTGGGTCGGAAGGTTCCAGCCTGGAGGCGTGGAGGATGTGTGGAGAAACACTGTGTGCTCATTCTGGCCTTCCCCAGCCTCCTGCTCTTGACCTCTGCTGGAGAGCAGGGTACAGGGAGAGGAGCCCTTTGGTCTGACCCAGCACTGACTGGTCATGTATTCCCACTTAAAATCCGTGCAGCTGGGAATTGGGGTGAGGAATTGTCTCTCCAGAAGTGGCTGTGTTTTGTGTGCACCTCGTCCTGCTGTCAGGAAGACAGATGTGCCTGAGGAAGGCTTTGAGGGTGTCTGGACCTGTGAGCCAGAAGTACAAGCAAATTGCTGATGAGATTTCATTTTTTTACCTCCTTTTAGTGAAAGGTCATTAAATACCTAAGGAAATGCCTGCAAATGCAGTCTTGTTAGATTAAAAGAAGCCTCTGTAGACTCTGTTGTGCCTTGACTACAGGGTGTATCTGCTGCTGAGCTGTGCTTTCCACAGATTTTCAGTGTCTCTCTGATTCTGGCTTTGAACACTCCAGGCACTTGTGCAGAACTGAGTCAGCTCTTGATCTTCCTTTTCTGACTTCCTTTTTTTTTTTTTTTTTTTTTAAGAAGTGATTAAACCCACGGCTGGTTATTTGAGGCCCAGAAGTGGAATTTGTTTACTACACAAGCAAGAAAATCTAGATAAAAATGAAAAGTAAAGTTGCAGGATTTGTCTGTGGGCTTGGATGTGAGGAGGTGATGTCTCTTTATTCCCAAATAAGCTTGGCTGTGTGGTATGTGCTGTCTTTTACAGTGTGTTTTTTCCTAGGCAAGAAGGGATTTGGACATACAAGCAACATCCTGTACAGAAGGCATAGGTGAGCTTTGAGGCATAGGGTTTTCTGTTTCATATCTTTCATATCTTCATAAACAAGCAGGGTTTTTTTGGATTCTGAAATGATCCTCATTGCAGCCCCCTCGTTCTGCAACCCCCACTTCTGCATGAGACCCATTTCTCCTGGCACTTTCCTACTGCTGCTCCCAACGAGAGTTGAAGTTGCTGAGATGTGTGTAGGATCAGCCCTCAGCAGTGGAATTACGAGTGCCCTGAGGCTGCTGGTGGAACATGTGCATGAGAGCCCTTGCAGCTTTTAAGAATCATTTAATTGGAAATTAAATTTAGGTGCCAGGCAGCTCAGATCCTGTTTCTGGTGTCTCATTCCATAAGAGCACAAATTACCAAGCGAGTTAATGCTCCACTCAAACCAGCCATGTTTGTAGCGTGTCTTTATCTGTGGCTGATGAGCTGGAAGCTCCAGTTAATACTGTCAGAGGAGTCTGGAGGTTTTGTCTTCAGTGAGAAGCACTCCCTTGACAGAGTGTTTCAGAGGGTCAGTCTGATATGGGGATGTGTGAAGAGCCCTTCCTTCTCCTCTGCAGGACTCTTCTGCCAAAGGCCACCAGGCAGTTTTCTTTAGGGAAAAAAAAAAAAAAATAAATCATCCCACCTCTCTGCCAGTCATGCCAATGTGGTTTTTTTTTTCCCTGCCTATTTTTATATGTTTGTGTCTGGATTCTTCTGAAGTGAAACATAACACTGTTGGGAATTGGCCTTGGTGATTCAGAGTGTAGCAATGCTGCATTTGTTTCACAGTAGTTCAGGAAAACTGTTGCTGGTGGATCTTTCATTGTGAGAATTCAGAGCAAGATAAAATTGGGTTTGATGGTGGAAGTTTTTGTGGTCATTTTTAAAAGATGATGTTCTGGTGAAAAATGAGTGACAACAGCTAATTATTGATGTATATACTTCCCTTGCAGGCTGAGCTGTGTGTAGGATTCTTTCTCCATTTCTGATTCTGCATGATGTTGAACCTCTGCCTTTTTTCCCCTTCCATCTACAGGTGCATGAATTTCAGAACCCACGAGGCACCTTCTAAAACCTTCTTTTCATTCCCATTGCAAAGTCCTTTCTTTGACGCTGACGCTTTCCAGATTTAGTGCCACTGGGGGAATTCTAAAAGTTTGGTTTCAGCTCTCTGTGAATCCATTCAGTGCATTCCCCGCTGCTTTCATGGCTTTTGTATAACAGAGGCTAAAGAGCATCTCCAGCACTGCCCATCTGGGAGATGGTGTTTTGCTGGACTGACAGAAAACTGCCAGTTGTTCTGGAGTTTGAGCCAATGATACACTGTTGGTATCACATCTCCAGCTCCAGAATCTCACAGCCTATTTCAAAGTGCTTTGTACACTGAATAAATAAGTTTTTTCCTGTTCTACAGGTAGAAGGACTGAAGCGCTGAAAAAGAAACAGTAGATTTTTGGAGCTGGCACAGACAAAGAAGAAGAATAATTTTGGATTATGTAGTTGCCTTAAGTATGTGCTGTTGACTGGAACACAGGCTGCTCTTCATCCTTCTGGTGGGTTGAATTTAAAGCTTACTTTTGGGAGGTTCTACAGAAACATTTCACCAGCATGATGAACACGTTTGTGACTGTAAATGGTGCAGCTCCCAGCTCAAATGTTCTGTGTCCTGTGGAGTTTCAGATTCTGATCTGGCTACCTTACTGCTTAAAAACATTGGTACACAACCCCTGG